CGTGGCGTTTGATTTCTGAACGCACACACAATGACAGCTGACGAGCTAGGCTGAAAGACTAACAACTGCGCAAAAGCTAAAGTCAAAATTAATGTAAATCAACATCATACGCGTTACTACGAAAGCACATGCCTTGCAATGATGGCAGAAATTTTTATATAATATAGAATATACAGAGCATGATGTTTACTCATTCCTGCTTCCTACTATCGTATGAACAGCACCTTTCCAAACTAGCAGCAACATGGCTACTGCACCGACAAATCAATTTATTTCATTAATGATTCGAAAAATATGGAAGTATGTAAGGACACAATGTGAAGTATAACTAAAGTACTAGTATAAAAATGCATCACTGAAAAAGAACTACATTGGACAATGTAACAGAATTATCCACTCAACGAAAAATAGATGAACAAGGACGAATAGATAAAAATGGGTAAAGGATATGAGCGAATTTCACATATAGAGAATTATTCATTCAATCAATATAAAATCAAAAAAACAAGAACAAACTAACCCGACGAGTGCTCAGTGCACCAAACAGAGGCTTGCGATCAAAGATGAGGACAGCGTCGATCGACCGTATCGTGTATGCCAGAGTCAACCAATTCATAACGGAGACCTTTGGAGAAGTGAAGTGTGGTTCGACCTGCAGACCATGCTAAAATGGTACAAACGAAGAGTAAGTCAGAACTAACTCGGAAATACGGTCAACAAAAAACATGCAGCATTACCGAATAGACCGTCTGCGAAAACGTTCGCAGCATGTCCTCGATGCTTGTTGAAACCAACACCCTGTAAATGAAAACATAAAAAACGGATCACAATGCAAAACAATAACAGAAGCTGTATGCAGAATACGCAGAACAAGCTTTTCAAGAAAGTGTCGTTCAACTTGAAGTTTCGTACCGAAACAGGTGTCGAACCAACGAAGATCCCGTTCGATCAAGAGTTTAAATCAGTAAGAGTAGGACTGCTTAGGTTTCTAGTTATAGAATGCTGCGCTTAGGACAACATTTTACGAGAAACCAAGGGATCTATAAACTCCGTTTACCACTGCGTTTATAACTTACTGTCATATATCGACCAATCTATCTACTCGTCCAACCTGTCATCATATCTAGCAGTCTGTCTGCACTTCTATATGGAAAGTTTTAAGCAAATT